TTGAGACATCTTGTTATAGTAGTGAGATTAGAGGTATCCTCACAGATAGCTATCTTTCAAGGGGATAAGTGAAATGGATAGGACTTTCTGGACTCTGGGGGAGCAAACACTACCAGAGATAGCACATGATAAGCTAGACTAAACACACACATACACACACACACACAGGAGCACCCATAATCTCTCCCTACTTACATCTGCATGTAAACCTTCAAACAACATCTTTGTGGTAAATATATCTGTTGCAAAGTATATTTCTCTTAATATTTTGGTCCACTCATCACACACTAATAGACTTTGAGAGCTTACTCACAGACACATTTTCTTTTGGCTTCCAATGAGTTTGTTTAGATATTTTTATTTTTTTGTTTTACTTTTAATGAATTTGAACATAGGGCATGCACATTTATCTATATAAGTGGATTTCAGAGGAACTTAAGCATACAGCAACAGACTTTCTTCTTTGAAACATGAGCTAACAAAAGATATCAGTTATTCAATTCAGCAGGATGAGGGTTACTTGAGGCAAGTTATGTGTATCCTCGTGGTTAAAGGAGCCGAACTAGAACAGGAAGTAAAGCAAAATCTGCTATAATGGCTGTTTTGACTGCCTTGAGAATTGTTTCCTTCAAAAGCTATTTACAAGTTAAAGAAGTTAATACTTTTATCCACACAAGAATGCAGCCCCAGGAATCTTCCAAACACTTCAGTTGGATAAATTCTCAGGCTGGGTGTCTGAGGCCTCAATGTCTTGCCATAAATTGGCAAATGCAATGTAAAAGTTTATGTTGGCAATGACAGTTTTAGTTCCAAAGACTTGGGATGATTTTTAAATTTAAGTTAGATTGTAACTTTCCTTCATTTGTTTTCTACATTGTTTACAAAAGTGAAAGAGGGGTAGGGAGGAAGGGAAAGAGAGAAGGAGAAAGAGAGAGCTAAGATTCTAAGAATTTTACTTAACCTCATAACCTCAAAACCTCTCTTGAGGACTGAGGTTCTCATATGGACATTTTTTAGGGATCACCTTAAAATAAAGGACAAGGATTTGAAAATAGTTTTATAAGGAATGGCTTCATTATAGAATTGCCCGTCTTGTTCATTATTCACAGTATCTGACCCTTAGGAGTTGCTAGACACATAATCCTAGGCGAAATGAGTACCATTTGGACCAAGACGTATTAGAATTCTTTGGAAGTCTCCTGAGACACAGACTGAACTTTCCAAAGAAGCTGCTTCATGGATTCCTGAGCTTAAAACAGAACCCTGTGATCTGACCCCAAGTGGCCCCTCCCTGGTCCATAACCCTAAAGTATTTGTCTCCATAAATGTGTTGACTTGAGTCTTCACGGGTTTTAACATAGGTATGTACTGTAACTAGCCCATTCCTGGGAAGCCAAGGTTAGATGATAAGAATATGAAACACTTCTAGGAGGAAAGGGTTCTCGTAAGTAGTAGCAGACTGAGGGTTGCTCTCAGGTAGACTTCTAAAATGACCTCCAGGGGCTGGGGATTTAGCTCAGCGGCATAAGCACCTGCCTTGTAAAGCGGGCAGTCGTGAGTTCGATCTCTGGTACCGATAAAAAGGAAAAAGACCAAAAAAAGAAAAAAATAAAATAAAATAAAATAAAATAAAATAAAATAAAATAAAATGACCTCCACCCAACTACATGCCCTATATAACCCCTTCCTGAGGTATGGGCTAGAGCTGGGTGTATGAGAGGACAGCACTCTATGGCTGTGTTACATTATAAGACAAAGGTGAAGGAATTTTAAAAGTATAACTAAGGTTTTAAATAATCTGATTTAAAAAAAATTTTTTTTTGTTTTTTTCTATCAGTACCTGGGATCAAACTCACGACTACACACTTGCAAGGTAGGCACTTATGCCGCTGAGCTAAATCCCCAGCCCCAGTAATCTGATTTTAAATAAAGAGAATTATTATAGGTAGGCCTGACATAGTAGGGTAAAAAGTCCTAAAAGAGGTACTAGGTACTTATATAAAAGAAGGCTTCTCCTCTCAGACTTAAAAGAGCAACTGTCACACTGTATGTTGCCTATGGAGAGGGAAGCCTCAGGACTTCATGGCTGAAGATCCTGCTAAGCTGTGCATAAACTTCTGACCCACAGAAAACCTTAGGTTATAAATCTGTATTGTTTTAAATTGCTAACTCTGCACTAATTTGTTGTATGGCATTAGAAAACTGATATAGGCACAGCAAAAAAGCATGAAGGCAGGGTTTGACATAACATATAATATAAAGCAACTCAGTGTAGGGAAATAAATTGATATTCTGAAGTCCAGGTGTGGACCAAGAACTCCTGAAAATAATAGATCAGGGGAGCCCTAGCCTCAAGTTTGTGATTGTTTATGTTTGCTTTTCCCTAAACCAAGCTTTGTAGACCCTGTCATCACATTTCTATACAGTTTCTATGGCCTACACCATGTGAGACCATGTCTTAGACTCTGAATACAGAAAGGAAGATGTCCATATATTATGGTCTAGTTGAGAAGTCAGATACACACATGCATGTGTGGCTTCATGTGATAAATGCCTGCATATGTTTATGTGTACACACATGCATACATGTAATACACACACACACACACACACACATACACACACACACACAGAGATGATAACTTGGGAGAAGAAGCAGTCAAGATCAGCTTTGCTGTTTTGTGAAGGTCCTTCCATATATATAAATCCATTGCAGATACAATGACTTTTTTTCATTGTTGATAATTAATAGAAAATAGAAACAAAACATCCTACACAGAAGAGTATTATGACCCATGTTGTGTTTTGAGAAGCCCTACATGAGAGCAGATGGATTGCAGGAGGCGGGGAAAGGGGTAAGAAGGATACTACAGGGTGTTCACATGTCCTACTCACTCCTCTGTCCTACCTTCTAGCACAGCCCATCCTGTACTGAAGGGCAGTAAGTGTCAGCTGAATCATAAATGAACACATCATAAGATGAGAGCTCAAGAGGCAGTGTTAATGGAAGCAACAATCTCTGAGCAGGTCAGAGAGCTGTTTATTCACTATAGTTGGGGGAACAAAGTTTTAAGGCCTTCAGGATCTGAGAGATGGGCCAGAGGGCAGGGTAGGAAAAAGTATGATACTCAGTGTCTGGGCCTCTGCTTGAGCTCTAGCTGAAGGGAAAAGGAGAAACTTCCAGGCCTGAGGGCTGAGGGTATCCAGGGTATAGGTTCAACTCAGCCTAGCATCACCATTCCAGCGGGAGAAACCTGCCTATGCCCTACTATGAAAGTTCAGGCACTTTAGCATCTAATCTCCCCCACGGACATTTTATTAATTGGAGACCTCTACCATCTCTTGTGCATATCATTAGAGTGCTCTACCACTAAACTACACTCTAGTTCCCCCATCAACTTTTTAGGAATCCTCTATTTATCCTTGGTTGGCCCATACTTTCTCTTTTCTCCTTTTCCTTCCTAGTCTCTATTCTTACTTCTAACTGCTTCCCTCTCAGAGGATGGTTCCTCTCAAAAGGGCATTAATCACTTGATCAATTGCCTCATAATGCAGATAAGATACCCTCCTCTTTTTTTTTCTGACTCACGGTTTAAAATGTTCTATTTTTGTACCAAAGCCCATCTAATCTCTCTGCCTGTGCTGACAATGCACAGGTATTGTCATTCATTTATTTTTTCCACTTAATTATTCCCTGACAACTATTTATTTGAACACAGGAAGTATTCTAACCATTAGCGGCTAAATGACCTAAGCCTAAAACTTGGAAAGTATTGTGTCGTTTGTTCTTTAGATTATGATTTATTAAGCCATGTGGATTCCACATATAATGACTCCCAAATTCACCTCCTATGACACTTAATTCCAACTCCATTATTTGCCCAAATTACTACAGTGTTCTGCCTGGTCTCTTCCCTCTTACCCTCTTTCTTTATATTACGCCTCTGCTTAGAATAATTTAATGGTTCTGTATAGCTCATCTGGGTCCTGGTGAACTCTCCAACTCAATTTTCCTACATTACTTGCCCCATACAGTTTCCTGTCAGATATTTACAGACCAATTCATTATGATGCTGCTTAACCTCGTGCCTTTATTTGCTGTGTCCATACTTGAAGGGTCCTCTGCTTGCTATTTTCTAACTCCTTTGTTAGGTCAAGTGTTACTTCATTTAGCAAGACCTTTCTTTTTATAATGGTCCATGGAGCTTATAAAGCAACTGCATTCAGAAGATATGTAAAACCCTTAGTACAGTGATAGACCTCAGTTATTGCCTTCTTTGCTTGGTGGAGTTTCTTGAATTTGGGGCAGACAAAAACTGCATATAAACAAAGTCTTCCTATTTGCAGTGAAACCATTTCAGAATGCAGATTATGATGGAGAGACTTTCTCTCTTTCTCTAATGAAATGGACTCATGTACAGGAAAATTTTCTTTTCATATGTGTGTTTATTGCTTGAAACTTTTTATCATAATATTGAGCTACTAGACATTATTCTTAATGGCCTGGGAGTGATTCTGATGGACCACAAGACTGGAGACAAATTCCCTGGATATCATCATCCCAGAAAGCACAGCAATAATCACTGCAGTTCTCAGCTCTGAGGATAAGCTGTTGATACTTCCAGTTTCAAATTATTATTTAGCACATGGGGAGTCACACCCTATCTTCTGACCACCAGATAAAGAATCCACCAATCTCCCCCTTTCCTGGAGAATCTGAGGCACCAAATCAAGATCTTTTTAGGAAGAGACCTCTTAGGCTGAGGTCTGACATGGTAGCCCTAACTTATGAGTTCTTTATAAGGTCTTTAGAAGCTCTTTGTGAAAAGAAAAGCAACCTGACACCCATTCTCTGCACAAGTTGTTCTTCTAGCACATGCTCACTAAAGCACACATCTGTTTCTTACTCATTGCTTGATCACACTTCCTGGCTGCACCACATGTGCAGCTTTCTGAGTGTGGCAGTCCCTAGAAGGGATGGTAAAGGATGCGGTTCTTACTTGCGTTCAGCAGAGTTCGGATCTTCTTCTCTTCTTCCATTTCTTGAAGTAGCATTTCTGCCATTGTCTTCTCCTCTGACTCCATGCATATGTCCGACTCTCGAAGGTATTCCAGATAGTCAATCTCCCGCTGGGCACGCTCCACTCTCAGTGCCAGGTTGTTTACTGCACTCTTGTATTCGCTTGTGTAGGTATGGCATCTTCCCAGCATAACAGATATGTTTTTTGAGAATTCTTGGAAGTCTCGAATGTATGCCCTTGTTGCTTGACTACATTTTTCCAGTCCTTGCTTCAGTCAGAAAATAAATTAACCAAGTTATTGTCAGTTAAATTATGTAAGTAATAAAAACAACTATAATTCATAAAAAAGATTAGAAAACTACAAATAATCATAAAAGAAAAAATAAAGATCACCCACAACCTTAAATTCAAAGGTACTATTGGTGACTTTACATGTAAACTTTGAAAAAGTTTTCCCTTGTATTTAGTGAGATATATATATATATATATATATATATATATATATGATTTTGAGGAGTGGCAATATAGCTCCATGGCATAATCTTTGACTAGCACAGGTTAAGTTCTGGCACTACAAAAAATAAGTAAAATAAAATACAATTTTAGTATATGTATGTTTTGTAATTGTATTTTTAACTTGCTGATATCTTGTCAGCATATTTTAATGCCAATGCCTATGCCATAAATTCTGGTGCTGATAGATTTTTTTTTTTTTTTTTTACATTTTAAAGTTATATTATCCAAGTGAGCATGGGAGCACACACCTGAAAATGTAGCACTCTGGGAGACTGAAGCAGAAGGTTCTAAATTTGGGCCTAGCCAGGCAACTTAGCAACTTTGGGAGAACTTGTCTCAAAATTAAAAACATATTTTTAAATACATATATCTATACCTATTTTTAAAAATGATGTTATGAGGCTGAGATTTAGCTCAACGGCACAAGTGCCTGCCTGGCAAGTACAAGGTTGTGGGTTCAATCCCCAGCATCAAAAAAAACCAAAAATGATGTTGTGATATATATTCACATTTTGAGATGGCTAAAGCAAGCCAATTAACATATATATTTTCCACACATTAGTTTTGTGTGGTAAGAAGACTTACAGTCTTAACAATTTTAAGGTATACAATATATTGTTACTAACCAAAATCACCAGAGTACAATAGAACACTGGAACTTATTCTGTCTAACTGGAAAATTGTGTCCTTAGACCAATATCTCCCTACTGCCCGTACCTCTCAGTCTCCATTCAACTCTCTGTTTCTATGAATTCAACATTTTGGATTCTAGATAAAAGTGAAATCATTCAATATTTGTCTTACTGTGTCTGGTTTATTTCACTTAACATAATGTTCAATAAATTCATATGTGGTGTCACAAATGACTATCTTTAATGCTGAATGGCATTCCATTGTGTATATATACACACACATATATATATATTTGTTTGCATACTTTAAACATAATTATTACTATTATTATCATTTTGGTACCAGGGATTGAGCTCACGACCTCGCACTTGCCAGGCAGGCACTTATGCCGCTGAGCTAACTTCCCGGCTAACATAATTTAAATAAGACAGCATTTCATTGAATTGTTTTCCCATTTATTATTTATTAATTTTTGGTACTTGGCATTGAACTCACAACCTCGCACTTGCCAGGCAGGCGCTTATGCCACTAAGCTAAATCCCCAGCTGGTCTTCCCATTTATTTATTCTGTTGGACTGCATTAGACTGACATAGCTTTCAATTTTTTGTCATTCAAATAAAGCTAAGAAAAAATCTTTATATTTACATTTTCATGTACTTAACTTCAGGATAGACTTCCAGGAGTAAGGCCCATCCCCAGCACCTGGCACAGGGCCTAGTGTATAGTAATGCTCAACAAATATTTGTTGAATCAAAGAATATATGAATGGAAATGGGATTGCTGAGCTAAACAGTGTGAATAGTTAGAGATTTTTGGCGCAGTTTCCCAGAATGCTTTTCAGAAACGTACAAATTTATGCTCCAAAGAAAAATACTGTGTGTAAGAGACTTCATTCTGAGACAGAGAGACAGAGCAAGAAGTAGAGGTTAAAAAAAAGGAGGGGGGGGGGGACAAGAAGAGAGACAGAAAAAGAGGAAAATTCTCTAAATCCATATCATTTTTGTTTTGCTTTGTTTTTCTCACCCTTCTGACCTACCCTTCCCTGGGTGGGAACTGTACCATTTGGTTGTTAAGAGAGTGTTTGGCCAACAGTGCCTGCCATTTGGGACTGGGATTCAAGGCTATGGGAGCACCAGGGTGAAAAGATCTACACAGACTTTACATTTCAATGTGAATTTGAAATTCACATTCAAAGGTATGTTATATCTTTGCCTGAAGACAAACTCAAGGAAATAGAGAACAATTTTTAGGAATTTCAGCTGGCTCTTATGCTGGGGCAAGTTGGTACTAAATGCTGAGCATAATTCTGGTGCTTTTAAAAAGATGAGAGTGAAAGGGAGGTGTCTGGGGAGAGAGCAAGCAAAGAAGCACCCGGAGGCAACTGGCCTGGAAACGTTTCATCTCCAGGCCTCTAAGCCTCCTCTGCTGACTGGATAATGTTAGGGAATGCATTCAGCGCGCTCTGCTGAGTTACTTTACCCTGACTGTAACTAGATGACCAAATAATTTAGACTTGAGGATTTTCCCAGAAAATAAGTATTGGAGATAAATGCATCTTTGAAAGAAGATAAATGCCATCAACTTAATTGGTACAAAAGCAAGATATTATCCAGTGCAACTGTGCATGCCTGTCATCCCAGCACTCTGGGAAGCTGAGGCAGGAGGATTAGACGTTTAAACCTAACCATGTTAAATGAGAGATTTAGTGAGATCTTGTCTCAAAATTTAAAAAAAAATTAAAAGCGTTGGGAATGTAATTCAGTACAAAAATCTTGGGCTCAAGCCACAGTAGGAGGGGGCAATGATGGAGGGCAAGGTATTAAATATGAACTAGTGGCTTTAAGTGCTGGGGTGTCTCAAAGACCAGGGCAGAATGTTGGTTATAATTGACCTTGAGAGCCTAGTAGGCCTACAAAAATGCTGTGCCTTGCTAATTTTACTGAGATGGAAACCTGAATATTTTCTGTTTAACAGTTCTGAAATCTGTTCATTTCAAAAACAAAACAAAACTAAGACTTAGCTTCTCAATGTACTATCATTTTTTATGCTGATCTCATGGTTTGTTATGAAAAGATAGAAGGAAAAATCTACAATCAGTTATTCCAATGCAATAAATAATTAAGGAAAAGTGACCAAGATTTAAAAATTTTTATATTGAATAAAATAAACGAATTTTGGTTGTCCAACATTCTAGACATTTATCCACCAGGCCATGCTCTAAAGTACATCCTAATGATTCAACACAAACTGTCCTCAATTTCTCAGAGTTGAAATCTCTTTATTAAATATCCAGAATAATCACATGGGATAAGTTCCATTATTATCTCCATTTTATAGATGAGAAAAATTGCCAGATCTAAGAGCAGAGTAAAACATGCTCAAGGGCTGCGAGTGGAGCAGTGTAGATTCTGGTGTAGGTGCCCTACACTGAATCTATATATATTTGTAAGTATAATTTTAGCAATGGACTTATAATGTCCTAGCTGGAAAATGTACATGAAAATAAAGACAAGGAAGTGTGGATAAATGAGATGTTTTCCAAACTGGGCGTGGCAGCATAAGCCAGAATTCCAGCACTTGAGAGGCTAAGGCAGCAGGATTATCACAAATTTGAGGTTAGCCTAGGTTACATGGTGAGTTCAAATCCAGCCTGAACTAAGTGTGACCATAATAATAATAATAATAAAAAAAGCTGATTTCTGCAAGGTATGTTCCCCATGTCAGGCAGCCCATATGTCACCTACCTCCAAGACTTGAAAGCGCTGGTAAATGTAATGTACCATGCCTGGGTCCTGGGCATACTGTGGTAGGGGCAGAAATGCTGTGAGGAATAGAACCAGCAGCACAGAAGCTCTGTGAAGGGCCACCATCATCCTGCAAACTCACCAGGAGTACAATCTCTTATCCTGTGGTTCTCAGAGAAGACTCAGGGGTCCAGGTAGTGATCTCTTTTACGGTGCTGGTGCTGTAGGAAGTCCTTGAAAAAAAAACAATGTTTTGCAGAGAGTAAAGTCCTTCGGCTAGTCCACCCAGTGCATGATCTCAGTTTGCAAACTGGTGATCAAGTCCAGCTGTTGGCAAGGCAATCCCTGGAGGCCTCGCACGCTTACTTGGTGCAGAGAACTTTCGGGGTCCAGCATCTGTTGCCCTCACCTTTGACATGTGCAGACCCTCTCCAGGCCAGTGTCTGTGTTCTGCTTCTAGGCCTGGGGTGTGAGTAAGGGGTGCAGTGAGGTCTTTTCTCCCCTCCTTCCCCTCCCCCCAGCTCTTTGCTTTTTACTTTTGCTTTTCTCCTCCCTAATAGACTCTGCAGTCCAATCACAGGCCTGACCCACACAAACCACCCCCAGCTTCTCAGAGTTAAAATCTCAGTTTAGTTTCTGGCAAAAATTTCAAGGATCATTTGCCAGAAGTTCTATTGGGGAACCCCACCTCTCCAGACTTCCTTTGCATTCCTGCAGCTCTTAAAGGAACAGTAAGGAGAATTGACATGAAGTACCCTTATTTCTGAAAAGTCAGTGCACAGGACTGCGTTGCTTTGCAAGTTGGGAGGTACAATTGGCTACACCACTGACAGCCCAGGCTGACAGCTGACAAATCTCAGCATTGAGCTCAGAAAAATTTTCTCAAGAGAGACAACAATTATTGATTCAGTGGTGCTTCCAGAGCCAAAACCAGGAAATGAAATTCTTTTGTAAGGAAATTCTAGTATTTTCTCAATCACAGTGTCAGAATTCCCTTTATGTAACTACACGCTAGAAATATACAGGACTCAACTCCCTCAGGTCCCTTAATAGTTGAAAAGAAATCATATCTCTCAGCAAAGTGGTAAAATTTCTCACTTTTACCTTTGTGATATAGGCTTCTACTTATCTCTAACTCTCATTCTGCGAGCTGGTTTAGGACTTTTCATGTTCTTTCTCATTCACCAACCTGGACTATGGATGGGGTATGGGAAAACCTCTGGCCAGGAGTCAGACAAACCAGAACTTGGTTTGATTTTGGTCCTTGCAAGATACACTAAAAGTATGAGAATTTTCCGCTGGTGGTCCTTGTCCCCAACAGTTATTCTTTCCTGTTTTTTGTCTTTTGAGACAGGGTCTTGCTTTGTAGTTTAGGCTTGTCCTTGAATTCACTATGTAGTCCAGGCTGGTCTCAAACTCAGTGATCTTTCTGTCTCAGCTCCCGGAATGCTGGGATCACGGGGTGCGGTGGGTACCTCCATGTTAGGTAGGTAGCCCATCCCTTTTTGGTAGATTTAGTCCCTCTCTACTCTTTGGTAGAGTCCCAAATGATAGCTCCTCATATTTAAAAACAACTCCTTTTTTTTTTTGTGAGATAGCACAATGCAGCACAGGCTGGCCTTGAGGTCACTTTGTTGCCCAGGCTGGCTAGAACTCACAGTGATCCCCTGCCTCAGTACCCCAAGTGCTGGGATTACAAGTGTGTAAACTAGTTGCACTTTAGGTGATCTTATCTCCTGAATCTTTTTTTTTTTTTGGACACAAGACCTTCCATTTCCCTATATCCCTGGCCTTCCTAAGTCTATTTAAAAATCTCTACCCGACTCAGACTCCAAGTGAGAATACTTTCTCTCAAACTTCTCATGCATGGAATTTATTAATCAAGTCTTGTTCAAAAGGGGCTCTGGCAATTTTCTTCCAAGAAAGCCTCAATTCCTAATTTGGAGAATATGAACCAAGATGGAAAAGGTTTAGTAGAGGAAAATTCTGAATTATTGCAATTAATGTTTGGGCAGTGTCATCGTGGGTGCCCCTTTCCTTAGCATTCCATAATGTTTTTCATTATCTCTATAGTGAAATTCACATCCAGTGTGTATTACTGGGCAGTCAGTGAGGAGAGGCTGTGGTAAAAGGCCTTAGGTATGGCACACATCCTTACTGCTGCCAGGGCTGCTGCTGCCTCTGTCTTACTGGGTTGGCATCTGCAGGACTAGGTTTAGTGCTGGCATAGGTTCCCCTCTTTCCCCCCAGTGCTTTGGACCCCATGCCACTGTCTCTGAGGTCATCACCTTCACAGCAGCAAGGCTGGCCTCTGATGACCACAACTTGTCTGGTGTGGAGAGCTTTATCTTTGTACTCCTAAGCAGAGGAAGCAAATCCCATAACTGGCAGGCTTTGCTCACTGGGGTGGATGACAGATTTACAGCTCTGTGGGACATCTCAAATTCTTATGACTAGAGATTTCATAAATCAGAAACAAACTGACTTGGGAGAGAGCCCTGGCTGTGATACACACTGGCCAGCTGTGGCCTTATTTATTCAGAGTGGTGCAACTCTACGGATGCTATGTTGGTAAGAATGAGAGAGATGACTTCCAGTAGGTTCACCACAGTTGGGATAAACTCAATCACTTTGCTCCATTGTCTTTCCTTATATTTACTCTGCCCTTGATCACACTGCTGAGGACAGTGGCTGATCCCATGTGCTTGGTCATTCTGCTTTCCTGCTGAGTCTCCCCAGAAATAAGCTTTAATCCTTTGTCTTAGTCACTTTTCTCATTACTGAGGCATATTACCTAATATCCAAAATTTAAAGGAGAAGCTTATTTGGGCTTAAAAGTTTAGCCCACAGTTGGCCAGCTAAGAGGCAAAATAGCAAAGTAAAGGGACCTGGGTGGAGGAAAGCTGTCAATATTCTTGTGGTTAGGAAAAGAAAGAGAAGGAAACAGTCAGGAAGCAAGATACAGCCTTCTTGGTTACACGTGCAGTGATCCACATCTTCCGACCAGAGCTGACCCCCTAACAGCAAGTCAGCTATATATACCCCATGGTGATCAATCGCCTTCCAAAAGTCCTATCTGAACACATGAGTCTTTGGGGCACAGCTTTCATCTAAACCATCCTACCCTTCAATACCCACCACTGTTTCTGCAGCATGGTTCAATCCTGGTTGCTAGTCCTGGATCTCCAAGCCCAGCTTTGAGGAGCTAACTATTTTGTCTCAGTCCCCAAGGCTGATCTTGCCAAGATCTTGAAGCTCCTTATAGGTTTCTTTGCCATTGTCATCACTGGTGGCTTTTTTTGGACTGTGTCCCCATATTAACTGACCACTTGATTTCTAGAATCTTCTCTTCTCCCAGCATCCTCTACTCTTTTGAGAGGTGCTACCTAGCTTTGAGGAAGTCTGTGAGATTCTGCCTTGTTGTGGAAGCCGAGCTGAGCCCAGAAGAATCACTTCTGGGGTATCCAGAACTCATCGTGGAGATACAAACACAATGTCTCCTTTTTTTCCCTCTCCTTTTGCCCCTTCTCTTTTCTTCCAGCTTTTCTCCTTAATTTTGTATTCATCATACCAGCCCCTCACTCATACCAAATAGCTATTTGCCTTGATGCCACCCTCAAATCCTTCACAAATCCTTTTACAGGAAACTGCATTATTTTCTGCATGAGTGGTTGGAGTAGGCTCTAGACAAATTCCCAGTGTTCTTCTCTAGATAAAGCATTGCCTGATTTTATGTCCTTCCAAAATTTTTTGGAGATAGGGTCTTGCTACATAGTTCAGATTGGCCTTCAACTCACTGTGTAGCTTAGGCTGGCCTTGAACTCGTGATCTGCCTGCCTTAGCCTCTCATGTATTAAAATTACAGGCATGTGCCATCACATCTGGCAATGCCAAAATTAAAGCTCTTAATAATGTTATTGTAGCCAATCTTTTCTTTCTTTCTTTTTTTTTTTTTTTTTTTTTTTTTTGTCTTTTTTAGTCAGAGTCTCACAATGCAGTTCAGGCTGGCCTTGAGCTCACTTTGTAACCCAGGCTGGTCTTGAACTCAAAGAGATCCTCCTACTTCAGCCTCCTGAGTGCTGGGATTACAGGGATGCACCACCATGCCCGGATTTTTGCTTCAGTTCTTAATATTGCCAACATGAATCCTCCAAAAAATCCATGTCAAATTGCCCCCAAACTCCTCCATGAAATTTAATTAGGTATTTTTACTTATAGGAATCTTACAGTCTCCACTTCTCCCTTTGTAACCAGTAAATTCTTGTTTATCCTTTAGGTCCTCCTACTAACACTTCACCCCCAGCCCAACCAGAATGACCCCTGTGTTGATCTTCCTGCCTGTCTCTATCACATGCTGAAGGCTACATCTTGGTGATGATCCATCCAGGTATTGGTGCTCTGGTAGAGAGGAATATATATATATATATATATATATATTCCTTTTCTTTTTCTTGTCTTTTCCCTTCTTTTATTCTCCTTTCACCCATCCCAATTGTTCTTTCCTTTGGAGGAGTTTTTTTTCCTTCTTTCCCACTATCTATTGTAGATTTTGGATCTTATTTACTCTTTCAGTTTCTTACACTAGGGGACAATGACAATGTTTTCCCATGTGAGTTTGATGTATTTCACTTATGAATATGGTTTCTAGTTGCATCTATTATCTACAAAAGCCTCAAATTTATCCTCCTTTGTAGCTCAGTAGTATTCCTTTCTATAAAAATACCACTGTTTTATTCATTCCTTGGTTGATGGGCATTTCAGTTATTTCCAAAATTTAGCTATTACGAATTGTGCTGCTATAAACATACATGCACGTATATCACTATAGTATGTTGTTTTTAATTCTTCTGGAAAAATACCAAAAATGGGAACAGCTGGGTCGAATGGGACATTTAATCCTAGTTTTTGGAGGAATCTCCATACTGATTTCCACAGTGGTTCTTCCAGTTTACACTCCTACTGACACTCCTCCCCCTACACTCCTGCTGCATTTGTTATTGGCTGGTTTCTTGATGACAAGACATTCTTTCTGGTGTGAGATAGAATCTCAGTGTTGTTTTAATTTGCATTTTTTGAACTACCAATCATGTTGAACATTTTTCATATGTTTATTTGCCATTTGTATTTCTTCATCTGAGAAGTGCATATTCATCTCAGATGCCCATTTCTGGATTGGGTCTTTGAATTTAGGGAGCCTGATTTTTTTTCAATTCTTTACGTGTTCTAGGTAGAAGTCCTTTGTCTGAGGAACAGTTGTCTAAAGTATTTTCCATTCTGTGGGTAGTCTTTTCACTGTCTTGTTGATGTCTTCTAATATGCAAAAAACTTTTAGTAAGATAAGATCCCAGTTGTTGAATCTTTGAAAGACTTTCCATGCAGTTTGTGTTTTGTTCATGAATTCTCTGTCTACCCCTATGACGTCAAGATTTCTATATATTTTTCCTTCCAATATATTTAGTGTTTCTGATTTAATATTTAGAGCTTGATACATTTTGGCTTTAGTTTAGTGCATTTTGGTGTTTGGTTTTTGGAAAGCCAGTTTTTCCAGCACAATTTATTA